CATGAAGCCTATCATCTATTTGTATGTAGATGTTCTGTGAATTTGATCAGGGAAAATAGGTTTATTTCAACTTATAAAAAAAAAATCGGTTGAAAAACTTACAATAGGCCATGCCATGTCTAATTGCCCACTGCTATGTCTGCAAGGTTGAGCCTGTAGAGAAAAAATATACCTATTTACAAAGGCTTGAAATTATTTCGAAAAAGTCACTTACATTGTATTCTATATCCCCCATATACCTCAAGAGGCGCCCCCGCTCTCTCAAGACTATCGCACCCGTGAAGGGCCCGCAACACCATCGACAAAGTCGATTGACGGCTTAACAGGCCCCGTAAATTCCCTGTCCACAGGGGCAATACAAAAATCTCTCTATTTGGGTGAAACAGAGGTAGCAGTAGATCATCATCAGGAACCTAAAATACAAGTATAATTTATTACTCTACCAACTTGTTATTTTTAGAAAAGTAGCATAAATTGGTACAAGTTAGGGTTGGGACGGTATGACAGGTAGACAGAGGAAAATAATAAAAACATCGCACTGGACTACGGGATCAAACTTGAATGCGAGATTATCGAACTATTTCGTCGGAAATAGGACTATTTTTCGAGTGAAATATCACAAAAATAATTTAATCCAAAAGCCTCATAATATTTATAAGGGTACTTTAACATAGAGAACTTGAAAATTTTACTGGCAACACAAGTCTTTTCTACATAAAAAAATTTGAAAGCATTGATCAGAGGCATTGAAAATTTTACCTTGTATTGCCAACAAAATGTCATAGTGACTTTTATCTTTGAAAAAAAAAAAAACAGACCTCATGAATTTCCTCATAAGAGAAGTGACAAATCGAAAAATAACAGTGTCCATTCCACTCAGGTATAAATAAGCCCATTTGAAGGGTCGAAAATCGTAGTTTGCTAGCGGATAAATAGGAAAGAAGAGAAAATATAACTAGATAAAAAATTGGAAAACTTTTCTGTTGAGGCAAACAATTGCATATTAAATTGGTTTCCGAATCATCTGTCCACATCTGTCAAATAATTTTGTCACAAAAATTCACAAATTCCATCATTTTAGCTTATTAAAAGTGTATTTTTAAATAAAATAAAAAATATTTTCAACTTGCTGCGATTTGGAACAATTAACAAAGCTGAAATTAATAGCGAAATAGAAAATTCAATTCCTGAGTAGACAAAGAGAGTCTTCTCTTCTTTCTGTAGAGTCAAATTCAATAGTCTGATTGTACATTCTTCAATAACTGTTCATTTTAAAAAATATTTCCATATTTATACTTTCCTACTCGGTAAGTAATATACTATTTCTTCAAGAGACATACGATTTTCAGAATTTAAGAATGGTAAAAAGAAGAGCGCGTACGAAATAAAATAATTAAAAATTGTAGTTACCCAAATTATATTTATTAATTTCCAATTTTTATTGATATAAAGCGCACAAAGGTCATCCAATTTCATGGAAAAAAATCTAATTGAGAATGACTTTTGGCGGGAAACTACAAAATTAAGGTATTCACTTACTCTTCCATTTTGAATAATAGGTACACCAACACTTCTTGCAGACACTTATTGGAGAGCTGTTCAGTCGGACGAGCGAAAGTCGATACTGATACTGAACCAGAGCTTTTGTGAACAATATTTTACAAAGAGAGGGATGATTACCGGCCAGGACATATTATAACTCTCACCCCCTGATGCTGTTGGGTGGTCATTCTCTCTATAATTTGCTATAATTTCCTTGAATTAAAATTGCATCACTACCTGCTAACGACCATAAATGTCGAACCTTTTCTATTTTATTACACCCTTAATAGCGATTGCTATTTTTTGAGTTTCCAAGCTGTGGGAAAAAAATTCTCACCGAAAGGAATTTGCTAGGTACTTCAAAAGCCAAGACCAAGGTGGGTAGCTGATTTTCTTTTAAATTATAAGCTTCGGTTTCAGACCACCGGTCTGATGATGATGAGAAAAATGTCACAGGTCCGATATTTTATTATACACTTATAGCTTTTAGCTATTTCGATTGACGTCATCGGGTAATGGGAGAAAAATGCAGCAACTTGCGCATAAAAAGTCGGGGGATTTTCAAAACCGGAACATTTTCGTAGAGAAGCTACGGGCTACGCACGTAAATTTCGCTATTAAAATTTTAGCTATTTGCTGCCTAATTTCGAATTCAATTTCAAAGTCGGATTTGTACTTCAGCAGTCATTTTGCTACTTTAATCGAAATTTTCGATAGGTAATTGTTACATAATATCTACACTTCTGTTTTTTTTTTTTTTTCATTCCCCTGTCGTCGCGAGGAACAAGAATCAGTGTTATTGTGCTGTGTAAAAGTTTTCCAGATATCTACGACGCTGATCAAAGTAAGTGATTTTCAATGTAATTTATTTTCGTATTTTTCTACCTTTATTATTGTGATTATTGGCTTAGGTATGGAAAATAAATATAAACAGACGTTTCCTCTCGTCCTTTTTTTGGACCTGTTTTTAATAATTGTACTTTTTTTTTCTCTTCTGCTTGCTCAAATAGTTGTCCACATCTCTTTTTAAAACACGTAATTTTTTAGAAAAACTTTCCAACTCTAATTTAAAACGACACGACGATACCGGCGGTGACATGATTCAGGTGCCCCAGTCAACTAACTACTAGAAATATTAAGCAATAATTTCTTCATACTCGAAATAACTTGTTGAAACAGGTCTTGAAACGCTCTTTCTTTTTTCTCCGTTGCAGACACTGAAGCAGCTAGCGTGACCCTCCACATCCTCATATTAATTAGAATTTAATTGGCCAGAGTGAGAAGGTATATAGGTATAGTCCGCATCAGAGAGTAAGTTGCGTAATATAAAGTTAAATAAGAAAACACCCGCGCACGCTCTAAAGAAAAAAGTAGAAAATGGAAAAATTCATTATCGTTAAAAATGTTTACAAAAAAAATCGTTTATTTAAACTTCAAGGCAGAACCGTAGAATTTAAATTGAAAAAAATCCCCGAAAGTACGGAGCCTATTTCTTGGATTAGGGTCGCGATTGGGTCTATTATTAGAAAAATTACAGAAGATCTTCTGCCATCGGATCAAGTAGGTTTCAGTTTTGGATGTAAAGATTTTGCGAGAGACGTGGGATGGGTTAGTTTTAGGCCAGCTGAAAAAGTCACAATAGACGACATCTGGAATGTAATTTCGAGTGTTAATCAGTCCAATTCGATTGGGCTCGACACGGAAACATTTTGTCTAAGCGTTACCTTAGTCAGATTGCCTGTAGGACAGGGGAGAGTAAAAATGTACAATAATTACCAGGAAGAGTGCAATAGACGGCGAGGAATAGTCGTGATAAATAACAAGGCAGCTTGTGTTTACCGCGAGCCCTTGTGGTGGCCAAAGCATTTGTTGACAAAGATCCCCAGTTTAGTAAAGTACGCAGAGATACAGGAAAGCTCCAGACCCTGAGGGCAAAACTACTGGTCCAAGAAGCTCGAGTGGGAATTCCTGAAGAAGGGTGTGGAATTCAAGAACTGGAAATATTCCAGCAACATTTAGAAGATTATCGAATTGTTGTGTACAAATATGGTACTAAAGGACGTAACTTAGTTTTTTCGGGGCCACAATGCAACAGTAGCAAGAATCTGAATTTAATTCACCATGATGGGCACTATAATATGATTACCTCACTAACAGCAGCATTTTGTTGTAGCTATTTCTGTCAGGATTGTCATGTACCATATGACCATAAGAACCATCATATATGCTCGAGAACATGTCCGGGCTGTAATCAGACACCCGCTTGTATAATGACGGAGAAAATAAGATGTCCCGATTGCCGGCGGTTCTTCAGAAACGGTAATTGTTTCAGCCACCATAAGAGTGAAGGCTCCTATAAGAAGGGTAAATCGATTTGGAATGAAATTAAATTATGTGGGGATTGTCTGAAAGTAGTGAGGTCAAATAGAGAGCACATTTGCGGAGAAATATTTTGTGTCATTTGTAAAAAACATCGAGCACAAGGACATTTATGTCATATTCAGCGTGATACAAGAAAACCCCAAACAGAGAGTATTTTATTCATCTTTTAAGATGTGGAAACAATGCAGGAGAAGCAGCTGGAAGTCGGAAGTTACGAACACCAACCAAAGCTGCTGGTATTTAAGCAGTGTTGTTCAGAGTGTTTAAATGTCCGGGCTGTAATCAGACACCCGCTTGTATAATGAATATATGGAGAAAATAAGATGTCCCGATTGCCGGCGGTTCTTCAGAAACGGTAATTGTTTCAGCCACCATAAGAGTGAAGGCTCCTATGAGAAGGGTAAACCGATTTGCAATGAAATCAAATTATGTGGGGATTGTCTGAAAGTAGTGAGGTCAAATAGAGAGCACATTTGCGGAGAAATATTTTGTGTCATTTGAAAAAAGCATCGAGCACAAGGACATTTATGTGATATTCAGCATGATACAAGAAAACCCCGAACAGAGACTATTTTTTTCATAGTTTACGATGCAGGAGAAGCAGCTGGAAGTTACGAACACCAACCAAATCTGCTGGTATTAAAGCAGTGTTGTTCAGAGTGTTTGAATAAAAACAATAACAACATTTGCAATACTTGTGGTGTTCGTTTACAAGTTCTGAAAGACCCAAAATGTATAAACGGCTTTATGATTCACCTTTTAAAGATTCGAAAAAAGTTTAAACAAGTTATCGTTCTTGCCCATAACGGCCAAGCCTTTGACCACCAATTTATCCTCAACCATATACCAGTGGCGGCTCGTGGTGTCCAAGTAAGGGTGGGCGACAAAAATAAAAAACATCCATGGGCAATTTTTTTTAGACTTTCAAGGTTGCGGCCTTTTCAAATATTGTACTAACCCTCCATTAGGCGCGTGGACTCTACTCACGCGGTTAGGCGCGCGGAGTACAATAGTAATCCAATTTATTTGGCTCCTGCTAAGTTTTGTTTTTAAGCGAATATGAAATTATCTCTAACATACACTGAAAAAACTTAGCTATAAATATGACTGCAACTTCTTTATAATAAAGTAGTTGGAACTTCGGATATGAGGTAAGTTATGGGTCTTTACTATGAAGACGTGTTGCAGTTGAAATTCTCAAAGTAACTTGAGCTTATCTTAATTCCATTGAGAGCTTAAGATAACATCATCTTGCATTAATAGTCAAGTCATCCTGACTTTCTTAAAAATATACCTGCATTTTCTATTGATACTGAAGATTTAGCATGTATTTCTGGAAACTTTATGATATAAATCAGCGCTACATAGATGTTAACTCATAATAAAAGTTGTGACTTTATTAATAAGGCATGGTATTTTCAATTTAATACCTTCCTAACTTGTGCATATTCTGGAGCTTTGGATGTTGAATGATACACAAATAATATTTTTTTATAGTTTTATTACAAAAAATGCAAAAATAACAACATAAATTTATCACCTTCTTAAATAATAACTAAACAACATTTTCTGAAAAACTTCAAAAAAAAAAGAAAATAAAGAAAGGTATAAGGAAAAATAATAACATAAATTTATCACCTTCTTAAATAATAACTAAACAACATTTTCTGAAAAACTTTAAAACAAAAAGAAAATAAAGAAAGGTACAAGCAAAAATAACAACATAAATTTATCATCTTTTAAATAATAACTCAACAACATTTTCTAAAAAACTATAATAAGAATAAACAAAGGTAGGTAACTCTAAACCTAAACTTTCACAAATCTTGTTTAAAAGAGTGAATTGCTTTTTTGTTTCCAGCAATTTTATGTGGAGCTGTAGGATACGAACAATGTATTTGATGCAACTCTATACTTTTAAACGATTCAAACGTTTCATCAACTATATAACCATAAATATCAGTATTGAAGGTATTGGTCATTAATAAATTATAAATAAATATAATACCTCTAGGTGGCGTAAATATAATAAATCTTATTAAGCCAAATACAGGATCGCCGAATTCATCTCTATTTATCTGAATACACATATTTTTCGAAAATTTAATTCCATTGCGTTTGAACCATGAAATTAGAAAGCTTTCGTGCGTTACATTGTTTTCAATTAAGCTAATGTCAAAGTCTTCAATTTCGGAAATATGGCTCTCCATGGCTCCAATAGTCAACTCGTCATCAAACCCTTTTTTGGATAATAATCTATATGATAGTTTCAACTGATGCCGAATAGCTAGAGTATAAATAATATTCCGCCTATTAAAAACAACATGAGCGTTGGTTTTGGCAATTTTATGAAATGCCTCGTATCTTATTGATGATAAGTAACATAAGGGACCAACTTCTGAAATTATTCGTGGATAGTGAAGAAGCCAGTGATGTTTCATTTTCAGATTATCATTAAACAATAATATGTACTGCTCGTGATGCTCTTTAATTAGTAGCCCTAGAAATGAAAGTTGTTCCTTATTTACAATTGGCTTAATTATTATGTGAATAATCTGAATGAGGGTGTAATAAAAATGCCAATATTCATCCTGAGGATCGACGAAGTCCCCTACCAAAAAACCAAAATATGCTACAAATGCAGACATTTCTGATGATGACATAATTATATGACGTTTGGCAATATGTTTATCATTTATTAAAGGAATTCGATTACCAATGTCACATTCTCTGTGGCCAAAATATTTAATTCGCTTGTTCAACTGTTCGAGTGTAAAATATTTTTTCTCATAAATAAGGGAGTACAAAATATGGCCCATATCGTACCGACAGATACCCTCATATAAATCATGCATAATATCAAATGATATATTTTCAATATTATGGTAGTTTGATAATTGATTCCAAAAGCACCATTCCCTTACACCATGGGCTTTATTTCTAACATCTTCATTGTAGTTCAATTCGTTTCTCAAAAGTTCAGTATTTTCCAATGACAATTTTTTACACATAGTTTTATCACATAAACATACCCTGCAGGAGAACTCTCCTGAAAAACTTTCTGAAAAACCAGTCATTGCGTGAATACCCAAGTTATCACCTATCAGCAAAAACAATGAAAAATACACCAATACTGACTTCCCCTCATACTCAACTTTTATACCATTTTTTTCTAAAAAAGTAAGTTTATCTATAAATGGTTTAAGAACAAATTTATTGCCATATTTAACCCTATCTGAAGAAAAAAAAAGCCCAAAGAGAAAAATGTTATCTAGTAATGAAGCAAACTTTGGGGGAACTCCCCCAATTGAAAAATAAATAGCTCCAATTTTGTGAACACCAGCTTGTGTACCAAGGGGATTACCTGGTTCATAATCATCAAAATACACCAGTAGAGGCAAAAGTAATTTATCCTGGTTGATATTTTTTATTTTACGCCACAAATTTCCATTAAAAAGGGATGAAATTATGTCTGGTGATCTACGAGTTTCACTGTCTATGTGATATATTATGCTTTCAAGAATATTCGGAAGCTCTAAAAACTGTTTTAGAACCTCCAAAATATTGATAATTTGCCCCTCGCATTTTTTAATTGACAGAATAACATCTTTATCGTTTTGATTATCATCAAACTCTTCTCCAATCAAAAATGGAAGTGGCTTTATTAGGCTCTTTTGGTTTTCAAAATATTTAAATCGTTTATGTTCAGATATAAACGCATTGATTGAAAAGTTTGCCAAGAAAATATTGAACTCATGAACTGCATCTTCTTTTATAAATTTCAATTCAGTTGCAGTACATTTTATGTTAGTAATTATATCCTGAATTAATTCCGAACTATTTTCTACAACCTCTTGTATAGTTTTTCTCGTTATGGTGTTATTATTATATAATTTTGCAGTGAAATTTAAAATTGAATCTTCAAAATTATTAGTGGGTTGATAGTTTTTTATTGAATCTTGACAATCAGATTGAATTTCACATTCTTGGGAAATCTCATTCAGAGATATTGCAGAGACAGACGGGACATCTTTATCAATATTATCAAAAATCGGATAGTCGTAAATTTTCTGTGCATCATGTATATTTTTTAGGTGTTTTCTTAAGTTGTATATATTGTCAAATAATCTAAAACATATTCCACAAGATTTTTTCTCTAATAGCTTATGTATCCATTTTATATGTAAAAGGTAAGTTTCAGAATTTGGTAACACTTTATCACACTGGTTGCATAAATACATTGTTTAACTTATCAAAATTCAAAATCAAGATTTCTATTTATTTATTCTAGTTTAACAAAAAAGCAATTTGAAACTTTTATGACCCAAATAATTAATTATTCAATAACAATTGTATATCTAATATGTACAATTTGAAAAAAACTTCAAAATTTTTCACTTATTTTTTGATAGTATTTCTATTTTGTTCGCTATATCCATAATAAAGGGAATCTTATGGTCAAAATCTGTTAGCTCTATGTTGTAAACACACATCTGAATAAACAACCAAATGTGTTCGCCTTCAAATGGATATTTCAAATGCAATACATGGAAGATATTAAAACAGGTATCAATTCCCTTTAAAACTGAAGGCACCTTATAAATAGTATTATGCACACTTACATGAACGGATTTCACAGTGGTTTCCTCTAGTTCTACAATCAAAAATGGCTGCAAAGTCAATTTTCTTTCAGAACATTTTGCTCTACGATTCTCCACAGTCAACTCCACGTCTGCTGGCAACTAAAAATAAATATCTTAGAGCAAGAACATTTCTATTTAAAAAAATTATACAGTCACAGCCACAATAATGCTTTCTCTGCATTCAGAAACTTGCGGTTTCCATTGAAATGGTTTTCCAGATTTGTTTTTTATTGTTAGTCTGCTCTTATTAGGCAGCAAGGACGGGAGCAGTAACAAATGAAGATAATGACGATAGTCTGGAAAAAGTGGCATGTTTATTATCTAGACATTTTTAATCTTGTTACTTAAGATGTTAATAATATCAAGGTACTCACCAGAATTTACACTATTGGATTGAGCTAAATTTTTTAATACAGCTTCATATTCACGTAATGTGTTACCTCTAAGTTCTAAAAGTTTAGAAAACTTTTCTTCCCAATTAGCAAAAAGTGAAGATTGTTTATTGGTGAACAGACGTTCAAAATCTCTATTTATCTAAAATAAATAGTGTTATTAATACGACGTATTTTTTTCTGAGCATTATAGCTTGAAAACTGATTCTGGATTCTATAGGCATGACATAGCACACACAAATCACAAACCAATCAGAGTAAATTTCATTGGTTAAAACTAGTTTTCTGGCTGTTTCTGATTGTTTTCAACCAATGAAATTCGCTTTGACTGGTTTGTGATTTCTGTGCGAACAGACTTTATCATAGGTATATAAGTCTGTTCGCACAGAAATCAGAAACCTATATAATTATGTATATTGTTTATCCACAATCTGAAGTCCGAAAGTAAAGGTAAGATTTATCAACTTTCAGTAGTATTGGATAGGGAAAGTTGATGAATCTACGTTTACCTTTGGACTTCGGATTGTGAATAGACTTTACTCACAAGTGTGTAGCCCTTATTTAAATTCAAAATTGGCCATTTCAGAAATACGTCTTCAATGGTAACATTTGGAGAATTTAGCCATTTTTGTCTTAAGTCATGGGAACTATCCCAATGAGTTATAACGTCATTCCAGGGCTCAATGTTATTTCGAAGCCAGTTTTCATGAACTTTGTTGTCATCATCAGTGTCGTCATTATTATTTTTGTCTAAAATATCGTATAGAATAAATATTGGGGAACTAAAATGCAAAATTTTAAATGTATTACCTGATTCAGATTCCGAAAAGGTTATATCGTTCTTCCCACTTCGAATTTTGGGAAGTAAATTAGACGATATCAGAAAACTAACAGTATTTTTATACCTATCCACCAGTTTTCCTCTGGATTTTTCGGACTTGCCACGTTTAGAGTTACAAACCTTTACTGGAGGCACAAAATAGACAATTTCCTTTTCGTTTGGAAAAAGTTTATTGATGCAAACAGCTAGGTATTTAAAATCGTCATTCTGAAGTCTTCTACAAAATTATAAATCGTTTTATTAGAAAAGCAAAGTACATTTCAACAGTTTCTTTTGTAAATAAAAAAATTACTTACTGGAACTGTTCATTCCTCAGAAAATGGGACGTAATTAGTTCCACCAGGTAACTTTGACATCTAGTGTCTAGAAATTCTTTTTCCCTATATGTATTTATTATCGCCTTGCCTACGAGTGTCGACTCAAGCAACTCTTTCAAATTGAAGTTGCCGACAGAACATTTTATTTTGTGTTCTCCAGAAATTTGCCTATCACCCTGAACGGATCTTTTTGGTGTTGAAGTTGAAGCAACACTGATTGATGAATCCGGATTTTTTTCAATGAGGCTTAGGCTGTGGGAATTCAATTTACAAATTATATAAATGAATTAATCATAAATGAATAAACATATGGGTAAAAACTTACACTGGACTATGAGTGTCATAATTATTATCATCTTCTTTGAAACACTCGCGGAAATTATTGCTAATATTTGATGTGTTTTCGGTGGTTGTCAAAATGGAATATGTTTTGCCTTCAATGTCTACTAGTTCAATCTAGAACATTACAGAATAAAATGAAGCGATTGACGTACGTACTTTTATTCAAAATTCAAATACTCACCACTGATGCTTCATCTTGCTGTAACGGAAAGGTGGAAATATTGAGTGTTCTATCAATGATCGGAAGACTGGAAGAAAGATTTTTTTTTTCTATGCGTTGTTTTTCCTTAATTTCCGCCAATTTTCGTACCAGTATAAATCTTTCCCCCAATTTCGGTACTAATTTCGCAATGGCGTCGGCGTCGAGACATAACAAAATTTCTGGGGTAATTGCTTCTTCTAAAATACCAAAGAAAAAATACAAAGTAAAGTACTCATAATTTAAGTAAGGATTCTATTTATAATGCTACAAACTGCAATTTAATATCACAGTTTGAAGCTTACATTATGTTAAGGGCAATTTCTTCACTATTAAGTAACAAAGAATGAATATCGTGGAAGGCAAAACGATGCTCATTATGGGATGAATTCTAAATGATTTTTCAGGTTAACAACAACTATTATCTTCTGTTAATGATTATTAATTATACTAATGGCCTAATGCACATATACCTACCTAAAATAAAATGTAAATTATTATAATATATAAGGACTTACCTTCAAAATTTCCTAAATGATGGCCTAGGCCTACCTCTTCGAGTAATTCCTTGCAGGCCATTTTTATTTCTATATATTTAAAACACAAACCGCACGCGAAGGGCAAAAAAAAGATTGATACTGATAGGCTGATAGCAACGCTGATAGATAGACTTTGCTGATAGTTTTTCAGGTTTTTGTTAGAAGACGTTGTGCGGTATTATAGATAGGTATACCTTGTCGATGTGCCAACATCGATACAACGAAACGCTGAAGCCAATGTTAAGCTATTCACGTGAAAATAAATTCTCGATCTATTATCTTTTACCTTTTTAATAGCTATTAAAGTAACAACTCGAGTATTTAATATAATCGATAATATTCATAATATTGAAGAAAGCACGTGCTTAAATGTATCCCAATCCTTAAAAATGTATTTATAAGAAAACGTTTCTTAACAATAAAGACATGTGTCTTGATATTTATCTGGAATGATCAACCTCTACTTGACTTAAATATTAAGAAAGAATTTCTATACTGTTATGAAGGGTTTCGTTACACTAAATACCGTTCTTAATTCGCAAGACTAGTCTCTTGAATAGTATAATGCTGGCCTCAAAGTCACGTAGGACTTGAATTTTAATGCTGACTTTTTTCAGTGTATGATTATTTATGTCAGTTGATATGCATAAAATACATTTACACACATATTTTACATAAATTTTATTATAGGAAAATTTAAAGATATACACATGTTTTTTATAGCAGCTTAATTGAAAACGATTGCAAACCAAAAATTTTAACAAAAAAATGAACTATTTTTTTCTTTGTGTTGGAAAATAAACTTATACTTCACATAAACTGAACAGAAAAAAAATCAAAAAACATATAAACGAAAAAACACCTCAAAAATACATCATTTTTCAGTCTAACAAACATACGGTGCACACATCTCTCATGTGATCTTTGCATGCATGTTTGCTACATTTTTGGCAAATTTTTCTTGCTGATTTATTAGGACTTCTTGAGCAAATGTAGCAACGTCGAATGCAATTCGCTGGCATATCCGGTGGGGGAGGGGGTAAGATCTCTTCTAGACCAAGTAGGTGCCGCGCTCGACGCCGAATTTCTCTTGGTAGAGTAGGAATTGTTGACCGGTGTTCAATTTGTGGTTTTATTAGCTCCCAAGCAAACTTTTCAAAAAAAACGGATCTTAAAACTTTTTTTTCAGGATGGTTAGCCTTATAAATGCAGGTGCCGTTAACTCCTGATATATTCAGCAAGTCTTAGAATATTACCATTGGCCATCGATTTGTTATTCTGGCTACATTGTATTTTTCACACATCTGATCTACTAAATCTACACCGATTTTCGTCTTATTGTAGAAGGTTATTATTTCAGGTAACTTCTTGTCACCAGTTTCTGGGTCAATCGAATCATCATGGTGCATTGAAGAAATCAGTATGACGGTTTTGTTTTTCTTTGGACAATATGAAACCATGGTGTAATTTTCCTGAAAACCAAAAAATGATGATTTTTCTTCTCGGTTTTTTTTTGGCAAAAACTCAGGAGGTATTTCGCGTTTATTTTTCCGCATAGTGCCAACATATGTCAGCTTCTTTTCCTCTAGCAATTTTTTGACAAGTGGTATACTGGTAAACCAGTTGTCACCAGTTATGTTACGGTTTGTTCCTTGAACAGGGTGCACCAATCGAAGAACTATTTCAATTGGAGAATTGCTAAGCTTGTACGGTCCGTCAGGTTGAGTTCCCACGTAAGGCTCGAGATTGAAAGTGTAACCAGTTTTTGCATCTACCAATGCAAATGTCTTCAATCCATATCTTGCTGGCTTGCTGGGTATGTATTGTCTAAAGGAACAGCGTCCTCTAAAAGCCAATAACTGCTCATCTATTGTCAAGAATTCACTTGAAATAAAATTGTTTTGAAAATTAGCTACGAATATCTCAAAAACTTCTCTGATGGCTGCAAATTTATCGATTTCCCTTCTATCATTTCTTGTTCTAATATCATCAAACCTTAGACTTCTTAGCAAAAATCTAAAGCGTTTTTCACTCATTGCAAGATAACATAATTCCACGCCACTCCCTTTTGAATTATCCCATATTTTGTGAGCATTTTTTCTAGAACATCTCAAGGCGCCAATTAGAAACAAAATTCCAATGAAAGCACTAATTTCTCTTTCATCTGTGGATCTTACATCCCTATCCCTTTGAAATTTGTTTTTAATTTTTTCAATATATATATTTGTTGAAGCAGTTATCATTTGGATAATATTATCGGTTAGAAAAAGTCTTATACAATCGATCTCCGAAACTGCATCTCGAGCGTTGCGTTTTGGTCCGGATAATAGTTTTATAATATTGTGGGAACGAACACGTACGTGCATATTACCCCTATTTTTTCTCCACTTTGTTGCTTTATCTTTTCCAAGGTAAAATGTGTTACTTTCAGATTCTGGCTCATTCTCTGGAATACTTTGATCTTCATCTGAAGATAGTTCTTGCTCGGATTCAGTTTGATGATCGCTATTCTGTACATTGTCGTTTTCTAATTCATCTTGATCTTCTTCATCCATGGAACTTTCTTCTTCACTAGAAAGCTCATCGTACCATTTCGTCCAAACCTCAGGATCTCTACTATGTTCCAAACGTATTCTTTTGGCGTCAGACATTTCAATATCTGAAATGAAAATATATTTCACACTAAGATACTACAAATTTTACTTCTAAAACAAACAAAACATTTATTATATAACAAAAAAGTAGCTTTTCTAAACAATAAAACTTACCTAAAAGTTCCAACAGCCAAAATTCAAAAATGTGCAGTCGGCAAAAAATGTTTCACAATGAAGCGCGTGGAGTACAATTGTAATCCAGTCGTATTTGACAGCCCCTAACTCGGAACAACGGGCACTGCGTCTGTTTATTTTATACTAAGGAGGTACTTAGGTCTATTTTCAACAGCTACTCAAGCGGGCGATCCCCCTCCCAAGCTGTCGTTTAATTGGCCACTGCTGGAAGGGGCGTGGATTACATATGTAATCCATGCGCCTAACGGAGGGTTAAAGCAAAGATAATCCTACTCCAAAGTAGAATTATCTCTGATTAAAGGTATTTTTTATTTTTCCATTTTCTCTCCAGGCTGGCGGTGCCCACCTTGCCCATATGGGCGAACCGCCACTGCCATATACAAACATTTACGGATGATAAGGGCTGCGAGGCTTCCTCTATAAATTCCCAATTCGCTACCACAACTTTGTCATTAACCGGAATGATTGAGTTGACGGTTTTGCTGGAGTTATTCAATAGCTTAAACATCTCAGAAGGTTGATTTATGAACGGAGTTTTCTTCACGTTTTCCCTCTATCCAAATTTATCCCAAAACGAGTTCAGCATCAACTTGGCCTGGGCTCTCAATCCGGGGTTGCTCGCAATTTTCTCGTATTCCAATTTCACACTCTCTTTTTCGAAAAAGTTTTCGATATATTGATCCTTTTCCTCCTGAGTGGAGCAGTTTCTTGGCCATCCCGATGCCTCCTGCTTGATTTTAATGAATTTTTTCATCATTTCCGTAAACACACCGGTTGTGTTTGTTTCCCTGCAAAATTGAACCACCTTATAACGCCAAATCTCATAAACTTCCAAAATTTTGTAGCCTTTTTCGATGGCTTTTAAAACTTCGTCGATAATCCAAGTCCCTGTTATCGCACGGTCTTTTTCAATGTGATCACATTCTTTTTCTTTCTTCATGGTTTTTCCACATTTATTACATAAAACAAACATTAGTTTGTTGTTCATCTTCCGTGGCAGCACTGAATGGTACAAGTTCTGAGGCGGTAAAATTTTTGCTTTGATTATTCCTTCTGTTTCTTCAAAGTTCAATGTTGCGCAAGTTCTCCCCACGAAAATATCCGGGTGCCCGATAGGAAATTTTCCGTTCTTAGAGAGAGCAAACGTCCAGGTATTTGATTTTTTCTCCTTCTTCAGCTCTGTGATATGTTGTACAGTTTCCAGTACGGCCGCCGTAAAAAGCATCGCGTGGGTCAAGGGGAGAGCTGGCAGCGGTGTCCAGAGGAAACAATTCATGAGCTCTTATGAACAGCTCGATTTTGGGGTTTAATTTCATCTCTCTCCTAAATTCGCACTCCCATTTTTCTACGACCTCAAAGCCCCGTTCCCTGAGCCTTTCTGTTTTCGCTACCGTAGACTCGTAGCGGCTCCCTAGCCTTAAAGAGGGGTCCTCGTGTAATGGGTCATTTCTATTTGTTTTATAGCAATTCTGGCAGCCGTGATGATAACACCCGTGAAATTCGAAAACTTGATTGGTACCCTCGCAAAAACCATCCACTTTTCGGCCGAGTAAAACCGTTTCTAGTCCTTTAGCGGTGTGTTGTATGAAGATATTTCGCTGATTTTCTTCCCAAACCAGCCATTTCAAAGCAATGCTAGATTGCTTATCGTGGAATCGATAGCCGCCCTTTGGAATGATTCCTATTGTATCTGGTTTTAAAAAGTTTCTTCGAAATACTTTATTGCAGGTCGAAGCTATTGTTGTGGCCTCGCTAAATGGGCAGACATTCGTAG